TCTGCATGTCGATCAGTATCAAAAAAGTATGTGCAGGTGTATCAAAAACGTAAGATTTGCGCTTTAGACGACCCCAATAGGAAATCAAAATAAGAATTTGATTGGTTAAATTCGATTTATCGTTATCTGCTAATAATTTGGATTAAATATTACTAAATATAGTTAAATCAGTTATATTCAAATTAAAAAACATTGAATTTTTTTTAAAAAAATACCTTGAATGTTTCATGTTAGATACTCTTTAGTACAAAAGTGAGGATACTCATTAATATATATATCTATGATTTAATATCAAGATGTTTTTTGTATAGTAATAATACTGTATTAGATTTTTTTGATAAGCTAGCACGATATTTATATTGATATAACAGAAATATTTGCGGAATAACCAAAGTATAATTGTCAAAATATTATATTATAAACAAATGACGTGTTTAATCTATCTAACAATAACATTGAATAAAAAACTTATCTACATTGAACTAGCTTGGATTCATGAAATCAGATGAGTAAACCGAATTCCTGCAAAAAAATGGAAAATTGCCATTTTTATCACAGCAGTAATTTTTCTTAAGTCTGATTCTCTGAACCCTGCCCCCACAGCAAAAAGAGGCAGTGGGCCAAAAAAAAGGGTTATTTTAATTAATTTCTTGAAGAATTAAAGCAATAGGAATCCAATTTTTATAAAATTACAAAATTAAAATTTTTGTCTCACTGCCTCTTTTTGCTGTGGAGGTCCCCAAATGTAAATTAATCATAATTTGCCATTGTAACAATTTTTTTATTTTTATTGTTTTTTATTTACTGTCTTTCTTTTTTTCCTTTTTTTTTTAGCGGCTTCAATTGGCTCTGCAAATTCTGGGATGCCCATTCAAGTTGTTTGTCGCTCAATTATAGCTACACAACATAATATTGTTATAGGAACTTAATTCCACAATAAATAGGAGGACATCCAGGTATTGAATTGCCGAGGTTTGAAAGCTGATCATAGTGTATTACAAAACAGATAGACCATCGCTATTTTAAAGAATCAAAGAAATGGAACTTCCATCTGTATTAAGTTTTGCTTTATCGAATCTCCTTTCAACAATTGCCGCCGACAAGTTGGACACGAACTATGCTGTTCCAGCCAAGAACGAAGACATGATCTTATTTAAATAAATGCGCAGTCAGTTTTCAATAAGGATAAATAGTAATAAACAAAGCTAATTGTTTTAACATACAAGTGAAACATATGCCCGCAGGGTAATTTTTTAGCAGAAACCATGGAATCTCGACATATTGCGCAATCATCGTTATACTCATTTAGCTCCAAATCCGTCGCATTCGGGTACCTGCATATTTCAAATATGAGTTATAAGCATTTGTATCGATTTTCACTTACAAATCAATTCCTTACTGGGTTTGCATATTGCTAATTGCTTGTCGGTAATTGCAATAGGCAGCAATCTTTTTCCTGAGATTATTGAAAACACTTCGCATATTTAAAAATAGCACGGCGTCAATCAAAGTGAACGATACGCCGTGCAAGAGCTGTGTGAAAAGAAAAATTAATTAATTTTAATGTTATAAATATAAAAATAAGAGATATATAGTCTCACCATTATATGCAAATAATGTCCAAGCGTGGCAACAAGTATTAAAGTATCTGTAACAAATTCTGTATAATATAAAAGAAGTCCACGAGATTCCCAAACACCAGTTCTAGAGAGGTCTCTTAGATGAATTACATATTTCACGAGAGTTTGAACAGTATCCAGAAAAAGTGTAAAGCACTGATTTAACGACAAAGCATAATGTATATCAATTAGTAAAAATGCACTGACACAATTTAAAATATTCTATTACCTACTTCAAACGTCAGAAGCAACAGCATCGATCTGAAAATTGATATGCACATTATGAACCAAAATATATCTGAGATTAAAATAAGGATCAAAAGTGACAAAATGCGCAAATGATCTTGAATTGGTGTATTTGGGGTCAATGCAAGCTACAAAAACATGATAGAACATTAATAAATGTTAATTCGAGGAGCATACTATAAATACATACATGTTCAAATCTATCTCGACAAAGCATGCTAAATATCCTCAGAAATCCTAGAATGGTAAACCACGTTGTCCAAATAAGTAGCTCCTCCCATTTTGGTTCCAATATCGCACCCACAAAAACTACTTTGAACAGAAGAAAGTTGAGAAGCCTATCATACATATGCTGAAGATACATAGTGTGAAGAATCAATTAATATCGTTATCAAATAGAGATGGGTGAAGAGACAATAATTATAGTGTACCTGACTTTCGATAACTCGCAATTGACCAAAAAAGAATTTTAAAGTCAATCTTCCAAGGAGAAATAAAAAGCAATAAGCCATGTTGATAAATATCTGAAATAAGTTGCAATTTTACGTTAGATCTAGGAATAATATGAGAATGAATTAAAAGGAATTTACGTTTGTAACGTCTGAGTAAATTCTACAGAATATGCTCACGTACATTCGTTACATACCATCACACATGTCTTTTCTTTCTGCAGAAAATTGAAAAGTGATGTGAGGAAAGGTCCCATAGATCCCACTGGCTTTCGCGGCGTTAGATACCTCTCAGCTAGCATATTTTGAAATACTGAAGTGGCAACGTGTGGACTTTTTTCCGGAACTCCCCATGGCTCATCAAAACTGTTAGAAGACGACGACCGATGTTCTGTAGAGAGATCAGCTCCAGCTTCGTTTTGTGAGTTGTCAACTTGCGTCAAGGAAGATGTGAATAGAAACCATTTTTGGAAAGAAAAGGTTGTGAAAGGTAAAGTAAAAATATCACAGGAATATAAAAAAGCCACTAAGGCAACACATACGGAAATTGTAGTGTATAGTTTCAAATCGAGTACGGGCATTATAACATTGGTGAGAATTCAACAGACAGGAAAGAATTTTAAAGAATAGCTCATTTTGATTGGCCAACTAGTTTCAAATAACGGCACCCAGTATTAGTGGCTTTATACTTACTTTGTGCCGGTAATACAGACTCCTAAAAAGAAAACAGACAATCAACACACAAAGTCGATTCTAATTTTTTAAAGAGTATTGAAAATTAAAATTTTTTTAAACTTTGGACTAAAACGCATTCACAAAAACCAGCTAATTAACCAGTACAAGACATTCTATATAAGAATGTTTTACGCCTCTAAAACTTTTTTTAAACTTTAATTTTTATATACAAAAACAGAAAATACATAAAAATTTAATAAAAATATATACTGTACGTATAATAGATTTTTTTATTTTTTTTTATAAATATGCCGTATACAGAAAGTTGTTTTATATACAAACAGTATATGTGTAGTAAATTTCTTGTAATTTAAGACTAGCTACTATTAGTTTTAGAAAAAAGAGGGCTTGGGTATACTGTATAATAGATATATATATTTTATAATGTATATGCAGTAGTTAAAATATTTTAAAAGCTAGATTTTATTAATATAATTTACTCTTATTTATATCAACTTATCTGGTATTTTTTTTTTCATTTATTATATAAAACGCATCTATAGTGGTTTTGCATCTATTATATATTTAATTATGTTTTTTTTAGATTTTTCTGTTTTGAATATAAAAATTTTTAGCATGAAATTTTCATAATAGTGTTAGTATTTAGGGTTATAATTAGTGTTTGGAAAGGATTTTATAGGCATGAAGTATTTTTATTTAGAACATCTTGTACTGATCAATTAGCTAGTTTTTAAGATAATATATATATAAATGCAAAACACCATAGGTGTATTTTAGTAAAAGTTTTTTTATTTTATTTTTTATTTAAGCAATTCTGCCTTTACTATATATTCCCGAAAATAAGCTATCTTTTTTGTACAGGTAAGAATGTTCCAAATATGGAGGTCGTCTAAAGCCATGTACCCACGTGACTTTTTTGTGTAAATCAACCAACCAGGATTGTGAAAGATTGTTTATACAGATCAGCTCGAAGAAGTTAAAAAATAAAGAAAATGCAAAAATATAAAAAATGACAGTCTAAACCTGTCTTGAAGCATTAACAAAAAATGTCAGAGAGACAATTTTACCTATAAACTATTCTGGCTCTAACCCACCCTAATATTAAACAACTTCTATTTCTAATTTTAATCAAAACTTCGAAAAATTATATAGGTATATGGCTTTAGCTATCCCCAAATATGGAAAATAGTTACACGAATATTAAATTATTGACACATGTTAAACAGCCAATCAAAATTGTTAATTTTAAAAAAAAAATTAGGCAACAAGTCAAAGTGAATCAAAGAAATTTAATTAAAATTTTATATTTAAAATTTTTAAATAAACATTGTTGAATATTATTGCAAATAGGCAAACGTGTCTTTATTAATTTAGATTACCGTATATTACCGAATAGAAGCTACCCCCGAATAGAAGCTATCCCTCGATTTTGGATCCAAAAATCTGAAAACGGTTACTATGTTTTAATAGTAAAATTAGACCCGAATAAAAGCTACCCCTGCAGTTTAGCTTAAGAAAATCGAAGAAAATCGAAAATTTTTTGGTAGCTTCTATTCGGTAATATACGGTATTTTTAAACTATCATTATATATGTTATAGTTATTTTTTTTTTATTTTTTTTTTAACGATCATGTCATAACTTTATTTTATACTATAGAATTTATATTTATAATAAATGTGAAATCTATTTATAGCTATACTATTTTAAACTAAAGTGTGGCTCACCTGGTTGCCAATTGATACCTATGTGCGACCTGCCAAAGTAGAATTGACCTCACTGCTTCTTCTTTACCTGCCTCAGATAAAGAATCTGCAGTTCATCAGCCTGGATCTACAGCCTGTCATGATCTATTTTAATTTTTATTCCAACTAGACTATCTTCCGGTCCAAATCCATTTATTCACTTTATCTGTTACTGTATCAATTCTTTTTTTAAAGACCTCCCACTGGTTTTTTCTCTTCTTATCTCCATGGGGCCTTCTCTCTGTCACGTTCAAAAGATCTTCAGGTCTAACTGCATTTTCTTTTCTTGGACTCCTATCTTTCTAGGGTCTTTTCTCCTTCTTTTTTTTTGGAGTTAATTTGCAGCTCTTTTTCCCACTTTATGACTTCTTCACAGTGTTGGAGCCAGATTTCTTCCTGGAAAAAGCTATGCTATTTGTCCCACCATTCGAGTATTATTAGTTCTATTTCTTTTCTAGTAATCCCTGTTGACTTAAGAGAGGCTGTCAAATCTGTTTCGATTAGTCCTCTTGCTAGATAATTTCTTTTTTTGTGTCTGTCTCCAATACTTCCACCTGCAAATGCTGAGTAAATATTGTTTTGCGAAATTTTCTTTTGAACAGAGGTGTCTAGGTTCCACCAGATTTCTTTTGTAATTGAATACTCCTTTTCTGACTAGTGGGATTCGTCAACTTCACATGATATTAAATGTTCGAAATTCTCTTCTTTCTTTTTGCATTTCCTGCAGATTGCTGTTGTGTATAGGTCTTCCTGATTTCTCTTGTGTAACTGCAGTGTTGGTAGAAGGCCACTCAAGCTTTTGAGTCTAAAACTCCATTTCTTGTTTAACTTTAAAGATCTTGATTTTCCATTTTTTTCTTTATTCCACAGGTTTCTGAAGATTTTCCAGTCCTGCTTTTCAACTCTCTTTTGGTATATATTGTCTTTCTGGCTTGGAGTAAATAACCAGTTGACTTTGTAGAAAGTTTGCATGAACATTTTAATAAAGCTTCGGATTGGAGTATCAATTAGGTGTTTGTTCCAGGTTGGCCTAAGCGTTATTTCTTGTGTTTCATTTATAGTAATGGAAGTTAATTCACTTTCTTGAGTGCCTTTTTTCGCTGCTTTATCTGCTAGATCATTTAACTAGTTGCCGGCATGTGCCTTTACTCTGTGAAGTTGGATATTTATTTTTTTGATATCTAGGATCTTGATAATTGTACTAAGAATACAAGGATTTTTCATTTTGTACCAGTTTCTAGTACTTTTGGCTTTCCGGCTTTTTTTTATTGTTTGTATTGCTGCCTGGCTATCTGTAAAAATATCTATCTTACTATTGTTTGGGGATATCAGAGTTGCTATAAAAATTGCTATCCCTTAAACTGTAGAGTTCGTGTAACAATTTTAACTTAAAAATAGCATAAATTTAGTTATGATTTATTTTTT